TTTAATGATAGTCCTCTTGCTTGCTTTTAACAGCTGCAAATCTCCAGATATTGCCTCTAGTCTACTTCCCTGTCTGTGACTTGCTTATCATGTACCTTCTTCATACATCTCCCCACTCTGTCCTAGCATTTACTTTTGTCAATAGAGAGCCTGGGTAGGGTGAGGCTGTTTCTGGACATTAGCATATCCTTGAAAATACCAGGGTCTGGCTCAATTATCCAGGCAGTAGCAACAATAGCTTGAATGCTTGTGAATAAAGTTGTGAGTGAATGTATGAATGCATGAGGGAAATGAGGTGAGAAGTGTTTGTGCCTGGCTGCAATTATTTTTCCCAGTTCACTGATAATTATGTTTGTTAGCATTATAGTTCTCTCTTGGTGGCTTCTTTCTCTTCAACCTGCCATGGAAACTTTCTGTGGAGGACAGGTTTGCCGCATGGCAGATCATTTATTGTTTCATAGGTCTTCAGGCCTCTCCCTGCTTCACCCAGGATTTAACAGATTTAACAGATTGACAAGTTGGAAGGGACCTTGTAGGTCATCTAGTCCAACCCCTCAAGCAGGGGACCCTCACACCATTTCTGACAGATGGCAGTCCAGCCTCTTCTTGAAAGCCTCCAGTGATGAAGCTCACGCAACTTCCAAAGGCAAGCTGAGGCAATCTTGTGTTGGACAATTCAGTCCTTACATCCATCTCTCTTCTTTTTTTCTTCCTAGAGTTCTTTTAAAGTTTCTGCCTTTCTCCTTTTTCTTGCTAGTTTAGTAGGGGCTCCGATTTCCTATGAAAAAATTATAAGAATCCATGTTATCATTTCTGAACTCAGAGTCCACTTAATGTTTAAAGGTTGCACACGACAGATTGTTAGAGAGCCATGGGTGACTGCAGACTGATACAGTTGAATTTTTTACTTTTTTGCCTGCATTTGTATGGTGGGGATCCCAGAAATTCTAGACAGCTCGCAATATACAAGACTAAAACACATATAAAAACAATTCATACAAGCAAATAATAATGAATACAATGATTAAATACTGCTCGTAAACAGCTGTTTGAGCCATTGAGATTTTCATTCAATGCCATCTAAAAGAGACTACTTTTATTATTTTTCTAAAGTCCATGAAGTTATGAATGCATATAACTATGATGAGGAAATGAGTTTGGGAGATTTAATTTTAGAATAATTTATTTAATATGATTGTTAACACATTGCCATAACCTTCTGTGAAGTGAACATATGTTGATGCAAACAAACAAATGTAATGGTGTAAATGAATGTGTTCTTTAGGGGATTCAAGAAGACAGTTCTCACGATCCAATGCTTGTCCTCTGTGTAAAGTGATTTATTTGCTTCTTTTTGTTACCATTTCCACCTATCAGTTAAATGTGAATTTATATTTAAATTCCACACCTGTCCCAATTGTTATTAGGACAAAGGCTTGACTTAGGTTCTGCAATGGATGAGAAAAAATGAGCATGGATTGGCATTCTCTTTGAGATGTAGACTCAAATACATGCAGGGTCCTTTACTTCCTGTAGCCTAACCTAACCTAACCTAACCTAACCTAACCTAACCTAACCTAACCTAACCTAACCTAACCTAACCTAACCTAACCTAACCTAACCTAACCAATGGTCAAACAATTTCATGATGTTATTGTTTTCAGCTGACTCAAAGACAGATGAGTAAAAAAATCTACTTGGTGGTGGAGACTCTTCAAAGTTCATTAGATTGAAAAGCCCCTTTTGTCAACTGCTTATAAATCATTAAAAAAATCCATGAAGCCAGAGGAACAGCAGATGCAATAGCAATAGACTGAGATTGTATCGTCTTTTCTCCCCTTATCATTTAGGTGACCTATGAGATAATTAAAAGTAATTGAAGAAATGCTATTTCAGACTGTTTTTAGGAGACCAACTGAATTGTGAAGAGTTATATATGTAAGATGATACTTAACTCAAAAACACAGTTGCAGCAGCTTGTCACGTTTAGGCTGTACACACATACAGCATGATGAAGGGATCAGAGCACAATGTAAAGGCTCAGTTTCAATCCTTTTTTTTAGTTAAGTACCAGAAAAAGTTCCCTGTTTGTATCTATGGAAGGCTGCTGTGAATTTGGCAGCAATAGACTACATCAGTGCTTTTTAACCTGGAAATTTTCAGATGTGTCAATTTCAACATCCAACTAGTAGGCACATGATCAAAAATTCTGGGAGTTGATGTCAATGCTTTGGAAAACAGCTAGATGTAAAAATACCCAGTCTTTAGAAGGAATGGAATACTGACTAATGTCTTGTCTGATCATTGCCTGCAAATATATACTATCATTAGGTAAAAAGGACGTCTGCCTCAGACAACAGATTTGAGGTGTTATGTATGCATATAAAATGGTTGCTTATTTTATAATATTATTGAATCTTTACTGCAAAAGGAGGAAGGGAAAAGAACTTGTGGGATATTCTGCCTCGTGATTCAAAATAACTTCAATAGCTTTGGGTCCTATGTCTGTTTATAGACAAAGGCTAAACGATGCTGAGATTCCAGCCTATGGTATAAACAAAAGCCCACTTATTTATTATTTATCTACTATTTTATTGCAGAGCTGAAGAAAGTGATGATAAATATGTTTTGAGTAAAATCAGATGAAAGGCTAATCTAAGAATTCCAGAGGAGACCCCAGACCCTTGATCCCAGGTTTACCTCTAGATACATGAATAACACATCGCTAATGCTCCCAACCGTAATATATGTAACTAGGACATTTTTCTGCTAGGTGCATTTGCTAACTGCAAATACATTTTAGAAAGTGCTGCTTTCCTATACAAAAGTATTTGAATTTCTTTCCCTGGCTTTTAAAAAACAAATTAGCTTTTTAATTTTAAAATGTTTGAGCTTCTGAATTTCAATTAAATTAGTAGAAATGTAATATATACTCATCTGGTCCATGCTTCCAGCTCTGCTGTATTGGAACAACTGTCCAAAGAGGCTTTAAAAGTTACTTGGATAATTGCTTTGTTTAAAGTAGTAGAACATACAGATAGGTTTTAATAAGGAAACTAAACTCCTAAGGTTTCTTTTATTTTTCTTATTAAGAAAATAGGTGGATAAATGTAAGTGGTGTCATTCACCTTTTTTTTTAAAAAAATATGGCAAGGTTTTTAATGTAGTTTTCTACATAGCAAATTGAGAGCAGAGACAAAATGCTCAACATCCAGGAGTTAAAAGAGTCTTGTCTATAATTAGGCGGTGATTTGAACATTTCTAACTGAGATCAGGTACAGGATATGTCTGGGGGTTAGAATATGTGATGAATGAAGAGACTAACTAACCTCTTGTGGCCAGAAGGAAGGCCATGACAGGAGTTGAAACGAAATATTTTAAGGTTAAAGGTTTGGCATGATGAGAGTTTGGTGGCCTGTGAGCAAAAGGCCACCAAAAATCAGAAGCTGCAAATATTCCAAAATTCCCTGTGGGTTGGCTGCCATGATAAAACTGCACCACTTTAAGGAAAACAGGACACATAAACAGCTGTTGTGGTGCACTCTCCTGATCATTTAGGGAGAGAACTCCATTCTGATGTGTTATTTAACTTCTGAACTACTAAATTTAGAGCAGACACTTGCTTTTACTGTCTTAGTTTATACTGCAAAGGAGCATCATACAAAATTTGCCATATGGTAGAGAACAATGTTACTGAGGAACATTAAGTCAATAATGTGGGGTTTGTGAGAGTATGCCATGATTATTCTGATTTGGTTCTGTAGGAAGTTAGCACCCATCCCTCTCCTAAAAGAATGAAATATTTTAGGAAATATTAAAAAGGCAGAATATTATATTTCCCTGGATGAGAAATGGAGAAACACATGTTAAAGACAAAGCAGCTCCCTGCAGCTTCTTGCCCCCCCCACCTTTGTCAATGGGCCAGAGGCAGAAACTAATTCCCGCCACCTTTGTCAATGGGCCATCATCTGCAACGCAATAGGATCCATCTAGCAACAGAAACTCACTAGCAGCAGAAACTCATCACATGGCAAGGCTCAAGCAAGCTTGAAAGACAACCTACAAAGTTAGCTAAGACCTTGCCCCCTGGGAGTTTGACAACCAATCAGGATACACTTCTTATACAGGAACAGGAAACACTAAGGTGGGGCCCACAGAGGGTATAAACTCAGGTACTCTCAGCATCTTGGCCCTTTTCTTTGGTTCTTCACCCAACACCTTGAAGCATGTGATCGCCTTTTCTGTTCAGGAACTCAAGCCATGTGATTCCTGTCCACCATTAAACCATCTTTCCAAACAGTCTCTATGTTTCCAGTGTCTTTTTCCCCACTTGGAACTGAACCCAGAAGGATATTTCTTCCAACAGTCCTTTGCTGGCAAAACCTAGACTCTCAATTGTTATGGCCAACACTGTAGAAGCATATTCAGACACCACTAGCAAGTTGGTTGTAAGTAATATAGAAGACTTAGAATAGGTTGTAACGTACTCTATTCTAGAGGAGTTAAGTATTTTTAGACATGCTTTGGTATATCTGGCTTCAATTTTATTCTCTGATTTCCAGTTAATGGCTGAAAATAGCCTGCAAAGTAGTTTTTTTTCTTCCACCTTCATTCTGCAAACTATATGCTTCCTTTATGCCCTTGGGGAATGAAACTTTAGATATTTAAATAAAATTGAAATAACTGTTACTCAATGTATTGGCATAATCCATCAAAAATCATTACAATTAAGTCTCATTTTAATACATGGTTGAAACTAGTTTCTAATCTAGTATTTTCAGCAGGATTTTATAATGATAATTTGCCTTCCTTTGTCTGATGTATTATACAGGCACATACATTTGTAAATTATGTCTATAAAATTGTAACACATCAATCAATTACAACGCTAACTTGGCATTGCTTTGTTATTGTACTTGTTAATTATAGCTAAATTTCAATGAGAATGTTAACAAGAAAATGCTGACTCCCTTTTTTCTTTCTTTTTTCTTAATTTTTAGGTTGGGATTCCCCATGACTGTCATATCCTGTACCATTGGAATGTGTTATCTTCTTGTTGCTCATGTTGTATTGGGATGGGCTTAAATTTTATATGTTGATTATGTACTATATGAACAAAATATTCTGTCAAATGTTTTCAGCTTTTGTTAAATCTTTTGAACAATGAAAGAAAACCAGATTTTTTTTTTTAAAAAAAATGTTCCAACTTGGCTTTCCATCATGTGCAAAAAAATCTAGTTTCTGAATGAAATCAAGCATTGATTTTGGTAGGAAAATTTTTTTAGTCTGTGCTCCCTATTGAGACTGAGATTACTAGAACCACGTGGAATGCAAGTCACCATAATTTTACTTAATAGGTGATAACTCTATGATTACCATGTCAAACTTTGAAGGGTTTGTACTATTTTATATTGCAATTGGAAAGATTGTGGTCTGTAGATGAAATGGAACATGAGAAAAGGAAGGAAGAGATGCTGCCTAGGAAACAATCAGACAAGAAAGGCAGGAGACCCCAATGGCTTAATGGTCATAAAGACAAACTTACGAAGGACCCACATTAATGGGTCAATCAGTCAAAAGTGTTTGCGGGAAGTTTGCGCCTTCAGATTTGCAAGATTCTGTTAATGTAGCATTACAATAAAGTAGTAATATTTGCTGTTTGATTTACCCAGGAGGGCTGATAGCACAGTCAAGAAACTACCATGTCAAAACTAGATTAAAATCCTCCCCTTTGATATGTCAATTTGGGGTCTCTGGTTTAAAAAGGCACAGATGAACAAAAGCCATGTATCCCTTTCAATAATGTGCTCCGGTCCTAAATCAATGTTCCTCTGATGTATTCCAGATGGACTTCCTGATAGTAGCTATGGCTAGGTGAAATGTATAAAAGATAATTTTTCACATTCCTGAAATAATAATTTGGTAAGGTAATTTGACTAACCAGACATTTAAACTTTACCTTTTTAAAAAATATGCTTGAGGGTAATGAAGATGAATAAATGCTAGGTCTATATCTTCTGTAAAGATCATTATGCAGTAATAATAAACTTTTCTGCAATGGTTCATCCAAAACATTCTCAAAGGAGGGAGATTTATTAATTAACACTAAAATAAATATACATAATTTCATAATAATCTATATTAGTTGAAGCATGAATGTGCATGGGATTATATTTTCTCTTGAAATTTTGGATTGCTAAATTTTGTGTGTAGTCATGAGTAAAAATCTTGCTATTACAGATATTTTCCGTTTCTCATTTGGACTTTATTTTGTCTTGGTGATATGTTTACCAATTTGTAATGTTACTCACTGATCGCTGATATTCACCTTATGCTTACTGTGATAAATAAGTAAATAGGGATACTTTGCATAATGAAATTACTTCATTGTTTTAAAATAAACAATGATTTTAATTTGGGTGATAGTTTCTACCAATTTCAGAAGAATTGTTATTCACTCAAATGCATATGTATAAACAAAATGAGCTACATTTTGGACAATTATCATGAGTATTTACCTAAGGCTATGTGTAAACAGCTTAATTTTAATATATTTAGTGATCAAGGATTCATGCTTGCTTATTGTTGCTCTAGCTAAGCAGGACAGTTTAAGAATAGCAAACTAGTTAGAATATTTTTATGGATCACGTTTGTAAATATAGAAGTGGAGAATGACTTCTCCATAGATTGAAGCAGTGCATCCATTATGCTCCCATATCTACTTTCCAAATCTAGGAAGAGTTGCTATCTCTTTGACCTCCCCTATGATTTGGCCTTCTGACTGCCTGTTCCATTTAAAATGTGACTTGGCTCTTAATCAGTACTAACATCTCCATAATGTAATAAAACAATATTGTATTGTAATAAGTACTTTTTCCCGATATGAAGATTGTTCTTTGGATTGTGTCTACTGACTCTTATGAGCTATTATAGGTAATCATTCCTACCCACATGGCGCTAGATTGATGATAAATGTCTTATGACATCAAAACACAAATCCTCCATCCTTTCACATGTACATCGCAGTGTCTCACTAAAGTCTGTAATGGTAGATATAGCATTACACTGCTGCAATACATATTTCATTTCTCTCTCTCTAATACACACACACACACACACCGTACATCCTGCTCAATGCACTGCAGTGTCAGTTACATGGAAGGAGAAATCTGAAATATGTAGGATTTCCCATTTTTCTCATCACAATCTCATAAAATAGATGAACTTCTTGTCTATTATGTGTTATCAAATAATAGTTCTGCTGTTCTCCCAATTTTTAGTTCTTAACCCATTTAGTAAGATTCTGCCTCAGGAATTAAACAATATGCCTTTGCCTTAAAATCCTTCATAATCTTGCTATTTAATCGTATTATAGTGGCTGTTCTAGGAATTAAATAATTTGCTATAAATTGGATCCAGATTTAACATTACTTAAAATAAACCAAATGAAAACCATCTTATTCTTGCTAAATATGAATAGGTGCTATATAAGAATCTATTATAATGTTAGCCTATTGTGATATGCAAATAGTATTGTAAAGTTATATAATTTGATCCTTTTTGCAATGATGTTATAGTACGTGATGACATTATGAATGTGAAGTTCTTGTTTTCTCTCTTTGATGATGCCAATGTCAATATAATTCCACATATTATTTATAGATTTTGATCTTATTCCTTAGTTGATTTTCTTAAACTAGTTGATAATATGAGACACGTTTTATACAGTTTGAGTTTCAGTGCTAAGAACTTTCAAAATTACAATCTGCATTTTTTGAGTGACAAAATACAGTTTTCCTTTTGTATTAAAATCAGTGCATTTGACATTTGGCTAACAGAGAATGGAAGATATACAATTCTCTCATTCATTCTCAGCAGCTGTCTGGAAAAAAAAATCCATATATATGATTTACTTACAGAGAGCTTAATAGTAAATATGATGAGCTTAAAAGATTAAATATACTGAATACACACAATAGGATTATTTTCTATTGTATTTTTTTAATAGAACTTAAGAACTCAAGAAAACTGCATTCTGTATTTTTCCAGTGATGTACCTTACCAAGAGAAAAATGTCATTGTAAAAGAAATTTTGTAATAATATACACGATACCTGTCCATGAGTGTGTGGGTCTTTTTCTTTTCTTACCACTAGCTCCCCCCCAGAGTATATTCCTTAAATATAATTTTTAAAAACAACAATATAACAATTCAAAGTTTATTGATTCAATTTTACTCGCTAAACCGTGTAGTTCTTTACTGAAGGGTTACCTAATTGGAGATTCTAGAAGCATTAGATTTCTACTATTAGATTTATGCTGTTCCTTCAGCCAACATGACTTTTCAAGACATTATAAGCAACTAGAAAACCTAGGGTCATCCTTCTTTCCACATATAATATAGGCTGGTGCTATTCTCCCTCCGCTCATGAACCTCATCAGAGCCCTAGTGAAGCCGCCTCCTTTCTCCTTCTACTCAGCTGATCCATGGAACTGCCTGTCATTTTGCAAGGGGAAGCAGGAACAAAAAGGGTTGCTGGCCTTGAAGAAAACTACAACCCTGCTCCAGTGGTGGGTTTCAAAATTTTTTACTACTGGTTCTGTGGGTGTGGCTTGGTGGGCGTGGCATAGCTTGGTAGACATGGCATGGCTTGTGGGCATGGCAGGGGAAGGTTACTGAAAAATCCCCATTTCCTCTCGATCAGCTGGGACTTGGGAGGCACAGAATAGATGGGGGCGGGGCCAGTCAGAGGTGGTATTTACTGGTTCTCCAAACTACTCAAAATTTCCGCTACCAGTTCTCCAGAACTGGTCAGAACCTGCTGAAACCCACCTTTGCCCTGCTCCCCATCAAGCTGTGTCCTAAAGGGTCCTCTTTCTCCCAGTTTGTGTTTACCTAACAACAGCACATCCAAGCCATCCCTACCTTGCAAATATGCATCTGAGTCCCTCCCTGTTGTTACTGCCCACTGTCAGTAAGAGGTTTCAGATTTTGGCTTGGTTCCCAAGCAGCCAATCACTGCTTGCCAGTCAGAACTTGCTACCAGCTGTTTGAATGCAGAGGCAAGAGGGAGATAGGAAAGAGGACAGGGAACCAATGGGGTTCTGGAAAATGTCATTAGAAACCATGGTCATGTGATCATGTCTAACTGTGACAATGTTGCAGTGGGCCACAATTTTGTGAATACATCTGGTGTGAAGATCCTTGAAGTTTCAATTACACAGAGATAATGGGTTCTGGATCTTGGATGCATTTTTTAACTCAGGTTATTTGAGATACTTTGATTAAAAAATGTTGCCCTGTTTTGTTTCATTTCATCCAATTAAAGGTGACAAACAAACAAAGAAGTTTTAGTAATATATAGATTAATTCTGATAAACTACATGGACTCTACAAAATTGTTATAGGCAATTAATGTTATGTAGTGATGGTTAATGATCAGTTGTTTAATGAGTTTCACATATATAATTTTTATGCACAAGTGTCACAAATCATATATAGTCTTATAGTGCTTGCAACTAGTTGTTGCAGTATACCAAGGTGTGTGCATTCTTCCAGCAGCCAATCCATCCACTGTTTTGATTTCATTCAAAACCCAATAGCTCAGTAGTATAAAACTACCATCTCAGTGTTGCTATTGATCTGGCATGCATTTGTATGCTGCTCGGAATCATTGAAAGTCAGGCAGCATACAAGTTTAATAAAATTAAATTGTCAGTTAATCCTGCCTACCATATACTGTGGTATCCTCAAGCTTAAAGGCATTTTTCTGAGGTGAAGACATTAAGTTCCTACTCTTTCTGTAATTGCTGTAATGGATCTTGATAAAGTACCTGCCTCCTATCCTTTCAATCACTGGTTGCTTTAAAATATACAAGTTGTGGGTCCAGGTTTTGATTAGGAAATAATTAAATTCACTCCTTCATTCTCTGTCACCTACCAGAGATAAGTAATTATGTTGTATGTTCTATGAATTGTATAGAGAAAATAGACATTTCCCAATATTTCTCATAATGATACCATTAAGAATTCATGATTCTTGCAGAGAACTGGACTAAACACAGAAGAATAATGTATAGAATAATAATGTACAGAGGTCAATACTACTTGGCTAAATGTGGACAGCCAAACAGTTCTAAATAGATTACATCAATTCACAAGCAATCCATACTATACTATCCATCAGTGGTGGGATTCAAATAATTTAACAACTGGTTCTCTGTCATAATGATTTCTTCCAACAACCAGTTCACCAAACTGCTCAGAAAGTTAACAACCGGTTCTCCCGAAGTGGTGCGAACTGGCTGAATCCCACCACTGCTATCCATACTATACTATTCTACACATTTCCAGATAGCGTGTATGGGAATTATGTGTGTATGTCTTTAATTTAAGAACATCTGAAGTGCTTCTTTGTTGCTTCAGTAAGGAGTGGTATTTGGAGGCAAGCTCTTGAAGAATAAATATATATAAAGCCAAGGACTGGAGAGATTTGAGTCCTCACTTGACCACAAGGCTCATTTGGTGATTTGGGCTCCAGACTTCTCTCATACCTACCTTAAGATTAGGGTGAATAAAAATCAATGATTTTTTTAAAAAAAATCAAAAAAATCAGATTTTTTTTATTTAAATTGGATTTTTTTGATTTAAATCGAATTTTTTTCGATTTTTATCGAATTTATTTTAATAAAAAACTTTTGGAGTAAAAATCTATGTAAGATAGTTTTCTATTTAAAATACATAAATAGTTTATTCAGCATGAAATGGAGCTTAGTTATGTAGCATGAGGCTGTATATTCTGCAACACTGGGACTATCAGCGAGTCAACAGTGGGTCAAAGGAGTAGCAGAGATGACAGTTGCTCTTTAAAAATTATGATTTAAATCGAGTTGATTTAAATCAAGCCTTTTTACTAGTGATTTAAATCATGATTTAAATTGTGATTTAAATTAACTCGATTTAAATCAAATCCACCCTGCTTAAGATAAAGGTAAAGGTTCCCCTGCACATGCGTGCTAGTCATTTCTGGCTTTAGGGGCATTGCTCATCTCCGTTTCTAAGCCAAAGAGCCAGCGCTGTCCAAAGACGTCTCTGTGGTCATGTGGATAGCATGATTCAACGCCGAAGGAGCACAGAGCTCTGTTACCTTCCCACCAAAGTGGTCCTATTTTTCTACTTGCATTTTTTATGTGCTTTCAAACTGCTAGGTTGGCAGAAACTGGGACAAGTAACGGGAGCTTA